TGCCTCTGTATTCAGTGTGTGTGTATGTGTGCCTGTATTTTCTATGCATGTGTACACAGTTCTCTGTATTTGGTGTGTGCACATGTGCCTGTATTCTCTGTGTACACACGTGTCTATATTCAGTGTGTGCATACACATGCATGTGTATTCGGTGTGTGCGCACATAGGTGTGTGTATTCTGACATGTGTGTCTGCTGTGTGTGCACGTGTGTCTGTGTATCAGTATGTGAGAGCATATCTGTGCCTGTGTTTCCCTGGGTGTCTGTGTGTCTCATCTGTAAGTGCCTCTTGCACACATCTGTGTCTCTCTGCTGTGGCTCACATGCTAGTAGAGGCCCCTGTGTGCGGACACTGAGCCCCTCCTGATGTGGTGTGCTGAGGTCTGCTTAGATAACCTCCTGCTGGGCAAGCTCTGCACTGTCCCATCCCCTGGGCTGAGGGAGGGGCTCTGGGTGGGCAAGGGGAAAGGGCTGGGCTCCCCACTGACTGTACAACCCTGCAGCGATGGGGTCCCCACATGTCCCTGAGCGCACGGTGCTCTTTGAGCGGGAACGAACTGGATTGACGTACCGCGTGCCCGCGCTGCTCCCTGTGTCTCCTGGGCCCACCCTGCTGGCCTTTGCTGAGCAGCGGATCAGCCCCGACGACTCTCACGCCCACCGCCTGGTGCTCCGGAGGGGCATACTGACCAGGGACTCTGTGCAGGTGAGGGGCTGGGGCTCTGAGCAGGGGAGGGGCGGGGAGGATCAGTGTAGGTGAGGGGCTTGGGGCTCTGAGCACAAGGGTCCCCGCCTCAGAGGGGTCTGGTCAGGCTGGGGTCCCAATACAGCATGGTGCCCACTGCAGTGGGGCGACCTGCATGTGCTGGAGACTGCAGCCCTGGAGGGGCACCGCTCCATGAACCCCTGCCCGGTGCACGAGGCACGCACCGGGACCGTCTTCCTCTTCTTCATTGCCGTCCGAGGCCAAACGCCTGAGGCGGTGCAGATTGCTACTGGCCGCAACGCTGCCCGCCTTTGCTGTGTGACCAGCCAAGACTCAGGCCTGACCTGGGGCAGCGTCTGGGATCTCACCGTGGAGGCCGTGGGCAGCGCTGAGCAGGGTAGGCAGGGCACTCAGGGACAGGGAGAGCAGGCGTGGGTGGGGCAGGGCTGGGGTTCAGAATTCTGGTCCTGCCTTCCCTGCGATCAGTAGTGGCTCCCTCCCTTTAGGAAAGATGGGCCTGCCCCTCCTCAGCTACCAGCCGCTGCCCCACTGTCCCAGGGTCTCAGACCTGGGTCCCTTCCCAGTCGACTCCACTGGCCTCTTCATTTCTGGCTCATGTCTGTGCCCAGGAGAGAGTGGGCACCGAGGGTTCCCTTGACTCCAATTAACTGCTTTTCTCACTCCCTCTCACCATGCCTTCCACCCTTGCCAGGAGCTGGCTGATCCCAAATCAAGGGAGTTCCCCCACTACCCTGGCATGACCAGGGCACACCTGGTCATACCCTGCCATACCCTGGCATACCCTGGCATGTGGGTACAGGGCACTCAGCCAGGGCTGGCTGCCCCCAGGCCCAGCCTGCAGGTCCCCTGCCCGCACTGCTCTTCCCTCGCTGCCATCTGTTCCTGGCTGGCTCCTGCTGGGTGGGCCTCCTGGCAGGTGCCTTGCTAACCGGGGCCACCTCGGGCTGTAGCGCAGGGAGAGGTCGTCAGTGGGGCTGGGGGGCCCCGGCACCAGCACCCGCACGCAGTCACAGCCTGGGCCTTGCTGAACCCCCTCCTGCAGACTGGGCCACGTTCGCCGTGGGCCCGGGTCATGGTGTGCAGCTGCGCTCCGGCCGCTTGCTGGTGCCCGCCTATACCTACCGCGTGGACCGCCGCGAGTGCTTCGGCCGCATCTGCCGCACCTCCCCGCACCCCTTCGTCTTCTACAGCGACGACCTGGGCAGCAGCTGGCGCCACGGGGGCCTCGTGCCCAACCTGCGCTCAGGCGAGTGCCAGCTGGCGGCCCTGGAGGGCGGCCCTGAGGGCTCACTGCTCTACTGCAATGCTCGGAGCCCGCTGGGCAGCCGCGTCCAGGCGCTCAGCGCCGATGAGGGCACCTCCTTCCTGCCCGGCCAGCTGGTGGCCCCGCTGGCAGAGACGGCCCGCGGCTGCCAGGGTAGTGTGGTGGGCTTCCCAGCGCCGCCCCCCAGCAGACCCTGCCCAGGGCACGCTCCTGGTGCCCAAGGGTCCCTGGAGGAGGGGGCTGGAGAGTGCGGTAGGGACGGACTGGCAGGGGACTGGTGGGCTCCGAGCCCCACGTGGCTGCTCTACTCCCACCCGACCGGGCGCCGGGCCCGCCTCCACATGGGCGTGCGCCTGAGCAGGGCTCCTCCAGACCCGCACAGCTGGACGGAGCCCTGGGTGGTCTTCCAGGGGCCCAGCGGCTACTCGGACCTGGCGGTGCTCTCGGACCCGCGCGCCGGGGGCCTGGCCTTCGGCTGCCTCTTTGAGAGCGGGCTGCGGCTGTCCTATGAGGAAGTCTCCTTCTGCTTCTTCTCCCTGCGCGACGTGCTGGACAACGTCCCCCCGGGGAAGCAGCGAGCACGAGCACACTGCCTGGCCTCCTGAAGGGGGTCGGGGATGGGCCGGGGTGTGTGGTCCACAGGAAGGGGCTGCGCCTGGGGCTGGACTGCCGCCCCAGCAGCTGTTTCCTGCCGCAGGAGCAGAAGTGTCCTTTGAACCTGTGTCTCCACCAATCTTATATCTAACGGCCTCCTTGGGCCCTCTTTGTCCCCTACCTCAACCTCAGCGATGGTCCAGACTCCACATCCCAGGGTGGGGGTGGGCCAGACCAGAGGGGGGTGGGACAAGAGGAAGCAGGTGCCTCCGCGATCGTTGACCTCCGTGTCCAAGGCTCCTCCTCTCTGCCAGCCCCACCTCAGCCTGGGTTCCTAGAGGCCCCATTAATTCCAGCTCTGATATCCCTGCTGGGTTGGGGCAGGGGTTTGGTGGCCATTCCTATGGAGCTGGCTGGCCGAGGGGAGGGGTCTGCTCCTAGCCCACACCGCGTGTCCACATCTCCCCTGCTCTGGTGAGGCCGTGGGCCCGGTCTGATGTCGGAAAGAAGGACCAAGGTGTTGTGTGGAGACAGGGAGTCCATGCTGCCTCAGCTCCCAATAGGACACTGGACAGCATTCTCCCAGGACCCATGGGGTCTTCCGGTTCATTTCTGGAAGTGGATCACCAGCCCCTCCCCCTAGTGGACTCAGACTGGAGGCTGTGCCAACCCGTGTCTGTCTGACGAGTTGGCCTCTCACTTTGTTTTCATGGGTTATAACAGACCTTCCAGACACGGAAGCCAGTCCATCCTGCCAGGACCACGGAAAAGCTTGCTTCCTCACCTGTGCCAGCCTGGTGCCAGCCCTGTGTGCTAATAGCTCTTCCTACTGTTTCTATCAGATGGGTGTTCACTGCCCCGAGGGCATCTCCCACAGACAGTGCACTTTGCCCTCTGCTCACCTGTCCCAGGTGTATGTGCTCACTCAAAGGATGTGAGCTGCCTGGCAAGCAGCAGGGGCACAGCCTTCCTCTCTGTGCCTCCTCCGAAGGAATGTCCTCCCTCTCTCCCCCAGGAAACACCATTCTGCACCCTGCAGCCGTGGGTCTTCTCTGCCACCACACTGTCACACGGCAGGGCGTCCTTACCAGGTGGAGTCTGTCACAGAGGGTGAAATGGGTTCCGGTGCAAGGACCTCAGTGTCCAGCACGTGCAGCGTGCAGGGGCTGTTAGCCTCATTAGTCTTCAGGCTCTGAGCAGTCGGTCCAGGATGGCTGGGGAGGACTGCCCAGCAGAGGCAGAGCCTGTGGGGAGGGGCCTCTCGTAGGACGCCAGGTTAAACAAGGGTTGTCAGCAGGTGTCCTCGAAGACCTAGGACAACCATGAAGTAGGGAGTCAGAAGTTCTGAGAAGTCATGCTGTGTGGTTGTTTCCTCCTCCATCTTTGGCCTTGTGGCAGTGACATTATTTCCTGTCAACTTGCAAATGGGTGGAGTCTAGCCTGTCAATCAGGTCATAGCCAATGAGGCATCTGTGTGGCATGGCCTTCTCCTGAGGATTCTGGGAACTCCTGTCTTCCTCCCTGGAGTGGGACACACACTCTCCCTGTGAGACAATCTTGTTGACAAGCCACATGGAGCGATGTCAATAGAGCCAGAGCCCTGGAGCTGGAGGACCCACATGGAGACCCGAGCCAGCGCCGAGATGCTTCTACCACCACTGGATCCACAAGACTTTACACCCACTGGCCTGTGATCTTCCTGTATTTGGTGTCATTGCATGGCTGTGTGAGTCTAAGGAGGAATTTATGGACTAGTATTGACTTATGGGGTAATATCGGACTTATGGACTTGATCTGGACTGGGCTGGGATGCTTTCTTAATGTACACCTGCTCTTTGATATAAAGTTCTCTCTTACACACATGAGTGTCCATGAATTTTGTTTCTCTAGTCCACCCAGACTCATACAGGTCTCTAAGGGTTGGAAAACTAACCCTATGGCACCTAACAACAACATTGTTATGAATTGGATTGTGTCCCTCACATGTGTGCTGTGAATCCTGATCTCTTTTTTTTAAAAAACATTTTATTAGGGGCTCATACAACTGTTATCGCAATCCATACACACATCAATTGTGTAAAGCGCATTTGTACATCATTCTCAAAACATTTTCTCTCCACTTAAACCCTTGACATTAGGTCCTCATTTTTCCCCTCCCTCCCGCTCCCCCCTCCCTCATGAGCCCTTGATAGTTTATAAATTGTTATTTTGTCATATTTTGCCCTGTCCGAAGTCTCCCTTAACCCACTTTTCAGTTGTCTGTGCCCCAGGGAGGAGGTCACATATAGTTCCTTGTAATCGGTTCCCTCTTTACTACCCATTCTCCCTTTACCCTCCCTGTTTCGCCACTCACACCACTGGTCCTGTAGGGCTCATCCGCCCCAGATTCCCTGTATTTTCAGTTCCTATCTGTACCAGTGTACATCCTCTGGTCTAGCCAGACTTGCAAGGTCGAATTCGAGTCATGGTAGTGGGAGCGGGGAGGAAACATTTAGGAACTAGAGGAAAGTTGTATTTCTCATTGTTGTTACATCGCACCCTGACTGGCTCATCTCCTCCCCGAGACCCCTCTGCAAGGGGATCTCCAGTGGCCTACTAATGGGCTTTGGATCTCCACTCCGCACTCCCCGCATCATTCACTATGGAAAGATTTTTTGTTCTGATGATGCCTTATACCTGATCCCTTCGACACCTCGTGGTTGCATAGGCTGGTGTGCTTCTTCCATGTGGGCTTTGTTGCTTCTGAGCTTGATGGTCGCTTGATTACCTTCAAGCCTTTAAGACCCCAGACGCTATACTTTTTGATAGCCGGGCACCATCAGCTTTCTTCGCCACATTTGCTTATGCACCCATTTGTCGAATCCTGATCTCTAACCTACAGTTAATCTCCTCTCAGAAAGGCCGCCTTTGCTACCTTAGTGAGACAGGGTTAGTGTAGGCATGTCTTAAGTCAGTCTCTTTTGAGATGCAAAGGAGGTTTTACCAGTAGGTGAAAGAAGCAGGGAGCAGGGCAAGGACAGGAGATGCCAAGCCACATGAAGGTCCCCAGAAGCAGCCGGTAAAGAGCACGAGGACCTCCTGCCGACAGAGCCGCCCACCTGGATCCAGACAGTTGCCCCTGACTGTGAGGCCATACCTTTCTGTTGCTAAAGCCTTCTACTGGAGGCACTGGGTCCTAGCAACACTGGAGAGCTAGGACCGGTGCCAGTAACCTCTCTGGGAGCGAGGCAGGAGTAAATGGAGAAGGAGCCCTGCAGAGGCCGGCAGGCAGTTCCCAGTACTGCTGTGACCTGGTGTAGACACTGCAAACCACTCAATGGTTAGTACCCATGTGGTCTAAGAAACAGTGCCGGTGAGCTGTTTACAGCTGTGTGTTCACTCGTGTTCTCCGATTAAAGTGGATAAATAACCCGCATCACTAAGGGTCCCCTGTGGTCTGGTTTGGGAGGGGCCACAGGGGCAGGTGGCACCATGGGTCCTGCCACCACTGATAAAGGGAGCAGGAAATGGCCTTTTCTCAGGAGAAGGAACACAGACGCTGGGGTGGGGTGGGGGTAGGAACGAGGAGAAGCGAGCCGCGGACTGTGGGGGAAGCTAAGTGCAGACAGACAACCGGAAGGAGCAGCGTCTGTCATAAAGTCGCAGGGCACTGCGACCATGACTAGGTGGGCTAAGACCATCGCCTGAATTGGGGGGGGTACGAGGATTGCGGGGGGGGGGGCTAAGTTGGGGGAGGGTACGTGGAGCGGGTTGGGGGTGGGGAGAGCTAAAGGGCTTGCATCATTCAGGGGGGCGGGGCAGAATCCAGTTTAAGGCAGTTTCCGTCTGCAGCACCCTGCTTCTCCACAGGGCGTCGTCGTCAACACACAGAACCTTGCTCTGCTGGGGTTCGGAAGCCAGCAGCTCTGGGGGGGACTTTGTTTCTCCTCCAAGGTCCCTGCCCCTGCCAACAGCGGTGGCCTGCTCTCTCGGCAGCAGTCTGCCCTGGGTCTGGGTGTTCCCAGCTCCGGGACCCTGGGTCCAAGGAGACGCCCACGCCTCTCTCCCTCCGGATGGCAGCAGCCCCTCGACTTCTGCTCCTTCCTTTCCTTTGAGAGGAGAGAACGCTGTGTCTGCCCTTCAAAGTCCCTTGTGGGTGGGTGTGGGAAACCCTGGCTGACCAAGGTTCCAGAACAGACTCCTGATACCGATACCGGAACCAGGGCTGCAATAAGATTGAGGGCGTGGCACCCCTTCTCCTCTAACTGCCTCACCACGTCATGAGATGTCAGCTCGCTGCCGCGTGACATCATCACACAGCTGCCCCCGTGTAGCTTTACAAGGCATATACACAAGCGGGGCCTTCATGAAAGTTTGTGGGAAAATCCCATTGTTTCCCCGTGAACTTTTTGAAGCGCCCGCATGTGGAAGGAAAGGGGCCCTGGTTGTGGCTGGGCTGCTAACCCCAGGGTCAGCAGTTTGAAGCCACCAGCGCTCTGAGGGAGACAGATGGGGGTGCTCTGCTCCCGGACAGGTTAGTCTCAGAAACCACAGGGCAGCCCCCAGGGTTACCCATCTGGGTAACTTCGCGGTCAGTGGGTTTCCAGTCACAGGAGTTGAGGAAATGCGGTGACCACTGGTCTCAGAGAAGCCCCACCACAGTGGCTCAGACTCTTCTGAAGGTGTCTGGTCTGCTCCGCTCTCTGGGGGCTCAGAGTGAGGACGCTCAGGGTCCAGCCCAGCTACCTGGCTCCTCACCTGCACCATGCTGAGCCCCAGGGGCAAACATCTTGCCCACACATAGGGTGGGGCCTGAGACCTACCACCCACTGCATCCCCTGCCCTCACAAGTGGCTTCCCAAACCAGAGAAGCGGCCCCACTCCCCCGGGGTTTGGTAAACATGGAGATGTTCTCCTGAAGGCTCCAGGGGGCTTCATGAGCAATTGTATTCCAAATGAGGTAAAGCCATTTTATGTCAGCGTCATTCATTCACGAAACATCTCAACAGTACATATAAGTGGTTATGTGCACAATATTTTAATCTTACATACACATTTTTATAAATCATTTTATTGGGGCTCTTACAACATGCCATACATCAATTGTATCAAACGCACTTGTACATATGTTGCCACAGTCATTTTCAAAACATTTTCTTTCTACTTGAGCCCTTGGTATCAGCTCCTTTTTTTTTCCCTCCCCACCTCCCACC